CGATGATGAATTTTTTTTTTTAAATTTTTTTTTACATTTATTTATTTATTGTGTGTGTGTGTGTGTGGCCAACTCAGCCCACCAGGGGGCGGGGCGGGCTGGCATGTGGTGCTGGGGGATTGAACCGTGGTCCCTGTGGTTTACTAAGCTTGTTCCAAGTAGGTGCTTTAGACCACTGAGCCATCTCACCAGCCCCAGTTATTTACTCTCTATAAAGCTTTATTTTCACATTTATGAAATGGAAATAATTATGCATCTGCTTTACTGGTGGCTATAAAGTTTAAATAAAATAATGTGCATAAATCACTAGGGACTGTCATATGACAACTATTCTTATCACTCATGCATGACAAGGCATAAAAAATTAGGGTATGATGACCGGAGACACTGCCCACATAATGCATCCACCTATCTCTCTTTACCTTTTTTTTTCTTTTTACTTTTCTAAGTATGTCACTCTGTCCATATCTAGGACCATATCCGTTTGGAGCTTAATAAAGCATAGGGGAAGAATTATGCTAAAAGCCTATAATGACACAGAGATACTACTATATATTTCATTCTTTTTTGTGGTACTGTAGATTGAACTCAGGGCCTTTACAATGAGCTATATCCCCAGCCCCTCTTTAACTTTGAGACAGGGTCTCCACTAATTTGCCTACACTGAGCTCAAACTGCAGCCTCAGGCTCCTTCAGTGCTGGGATTATATAGAGATGTACCACAGTGCCCCATCTTATTCTAATCCTTTAAAAATCAAAGGCCAAAAGATGAAATGGCCCAAAGAACAGTGTTTTCCAAACTATATTCCTCAAGAAATGTTTATAGATAGTATGCAAATAAAAGTGATGGTCTTAAAACAAGTTTGGGGAACATAATATGTCATGTCTATTACTTGGAGATTGATAGTATCTATTAGATACAAGTTCTTAAAAGCTTTGTTGTTTTAAAAAATAGCATCCCATTAAGTTTGTAAATCCAAACATCAGATTTCTTTAATCAGGAACAATGTGAGGGAATTACTATTAAATCTGGTGGGATGTCTAACATCTGTTGGGAAAACCCTAGAATAGGAAATTTTTGCCAGAGGTACGGTACTTAAGGATAAGGTAGCCCACCCTTAATAAAGAAAAATAAGTGCATTGATGTCCTCTCAATGATAACAGTTAATTCTGAATATATCTGGAGATTCTGCTTTTATTATTCTTTCCAATTAATAATTATAGGTTGCTTTCTTAATAACTGGAAAAAGCAGCTATGATAGCACCAGGGCTGAATAAATTGGTCATGACAGTGCAATCAATAATAAAAAAGTATAGTAAGCTGCTCAGTGATGAGGCAAAATTTGATTATATAATCAGATTCCATAAATCCATTGACTTCTGATTTTGGCAAAGGCACTGCTGCTCTTTCAGAAACTCACTGCCCAAAAGATCATATAATTGTTTCAGAAAAAGAACCAGGAAGCATAAAATCAGAATTCAAGGGAAAAGTTCAAGCAATAAAACTGATATTCTAGGTATCAGTAAAGCAAAGCAAAGCTGGCAAAAGTCATGCAAGAGGTCCGTTGAGATAGCTCAGTGGACTAAGCGCCTATTGAGGCAAGTGCAGCCAACACTTGTGCTGCTACCTCCAGCACCACATGCAGGGCTGGTCCCATCCCGGGCACACTGAGCTGGCCTGGTGTGGTGGCACATACTTGTAGAATCACTATGAGTCTCAGCTGCATAGAGAGACTTTGTAGTAAATACATTTTTAAAAAGTCATACAAGAAACAGTTACAGCCTAAATATATTCTTTGAGATAGATCATATATCTGGTAGAAAATATCACTGCTGTATTCTTTGTTATCTGCTCTTGCAAGAGACCTTTCTGGGTCACTGAAGACAACCTTCTCATAAAAAAAGTGGGCTACAAAGTAGGGATAAAGTTTAAAGATAAAGAGGAAAACAGAAGGTTGTTACCAATCTTAGTGTCCTCAATTTAAAGTTCTTTTCTTGGCTCTAATAACCACCTTTAAAATCATTCCTATTCCTGCCACTCTCTGAGTTCAAAATATCCAAGCTAAGTATTCTATTCACTTGCTCTTTTCTCTCCACTCTGGTGCACCTCTTTCCAGCTATCTTTCAGAACTTTTACTATGTACGGGCTTCAGTATCATCACAAAGCAGGAAAAGTAAAGAAGTGGAAGTTTCACAGGTAATTGTGTATAAATTGAATACTTCTTGTGTTGTTTGGAGCAACTTTGATTTCTGCCAAACAAATGTAACCGATATGCTGAGGATGTGTATCCTTTCATTAACGCATCATAAACAACCACTAAATCTCACCTGATGCTTCATGTAATGATTCATGTAGGGAGTTGCCATTCTACTAACTTTGAGGCAAAATGGACATAGCAAGTTCTTAGTGTTCTCATGGGATGTTCTAAAATGAGTTTCCACATCAGAAAATGTTGATGATCTAAACTGGCAAACCTAAAAATATAAACAAAGTTTAGTTTAACTTGAAATCTTATAACTTCCATAAAATTACATCAAATTCATACTAAATACTTGAGGTTTTTTTGTGTGTTTGCTTTTTGTGACAGGGTCTCACTATGTATTCCAGGCGGGCAACAAAAACACTACATCAGCCAGATCAGTATTGAATTTGCTACAATCCTCCTGACTCAGCCTTTGGAGTGCTGGAATTATAGGTATGTACCACCATCCACAGTGAGTCATCTGTTTAGAAGAACATTTTGTACTATTTACCTTTGCTGCCTATCAATAACAGTCCTATTACTACAAGTAATAATCTTTGAAACCAGTGTTTTCTTTCAAAGTTTAGGGATAAACTGTACTTCCGATTTGATTTGAAACTGTCTCATTGCTATCTGTTTATCAATAAAACTGTAGAAAAAAAAAACAAACAAAGTTTAGGGATATATTCCAAAACATAGATTCTCTCCTTTTCAGATCTACTACCACCATCTTCACTTGAGTTTTAAAACATTTCTTCTTCTATAGTTTTTTCCCCTATACATAAAACAGTATTTTTTTCCTGAGATTTTAAAGACCATTCCAATAACAATTTATCTTTATTATTACTGGGCGTCACTTGAAAACCTAGAAAAATAGTGGTCACAAAGGAGTTAATTGGGCCCTTGTTAGGCATGTTTTCCATTCCCCTGGTATGTCTATAGCCTTCCATTATAATTAATCTACATGTCACTTTCTCCACGAAGACATTTCTTTATCTACTTACAGAGATCAGCAAACCAAAACCTATAAGCCAAATCCAGCCCACCACTCCCATATACAATGTATAAGATAACCAAGGCAGTTTTCACTAATGAAGAGATTCTTTAAATTTTAATATAGTAACTAACTTTATGTAAATGGATAAAAACATCAAAAGAAAAATACTATTTCATGGCATGTGAAAATCAAGCAAATGTATAAGTATAAAAGTATAAACTAAAACATTTATGTACCTGGCAAATATAGGGCATTTCACCAGGCTTATGAGTGTCCTTCATATGTTGTAAAAGAATATGCTCTGTTTCAAATGACAATTCACAAATTTTGCAAATAGCTAAAAGTGGAAAAAACACATTATGTCATTTCAAAGATGTATATAAAAAGGATGCATTTTGTACTTCCATAACAAGTAATAGTAAAAAAAAAACAAGTAATAGTATCAGTGGCAGTAGTAGTAATAGTGAAGTTCGTTCTAATAAGTACATCATTGTTGACTCTAACATTATTCTAAGGATATTATTTCGTTTTTTAATTCTCATAATGTAACTCAGGGAAGTACTATTTTTATATTGGTTTTCATAAGAACCTGCAGCATAGAAAAAGTAACTTGCCTGAGACTTCTATGGTAGAGCTAAGATCTGAACCCAAGCTGTCCAGTTCACCTATTTTGCTAATTACCACTGTAGTTACTTTTTATATTAAAGGGTAAATTAAGGCTGATTTCAAATTTGAAAACCACAGATATGAGTGTTCATGTTTAGTCCCTTTCACATAAAGCATTGAATTGTGCCAAGGGAGTTCCCAGTAATGAAATGTTTATAAGAGCATTTCAAGTTTAGTAGCAAATTTTATTGAAGTTTATAAGAGTAATAACTTGTTTTATTTTACCCTCAAAATTACAGTCTGAAAAAAATTACAAAGTCTATTGCTTATTCTCGTTTTTCAACATAATGTTTAGAGGTTCTTCCCTTACAGTTTAGATGATCAACATCAGAAATATTCAGAATTTCAATGAAATTGACACTTACTAGAAAACTCATGCGGAGTATGTGTACTCTCGATGTGGCACTGCAACTGGAAGGGCGTGGGATACTGCCGGTAGCAGTGTTGACAGGTGGTGTGGTTTTCCCAGCTCTCACTATTCTGCTTTTCAAGTTCCAAGTGGTGTTTCATGTGGTTCATGAACCTATAAATGATTGTCAACGGGTGTATAAAATTCAGATTTATCACCACAAAAAAACCTCAGTACATATCTGAACTTAAAAATGTTAAAATGCAATTGTATGATTGCAACTCAAAATAACATTCCTGTAAAAAAAAATAACTGCTTCAGGTGGCAGAGGCAGAGGCAAATTTACACCTATAGTCCTAGTTATTCAGACTCAAGCAGGTGAATCATTTGAGTTCAGGAGTTTGAGGTCAATCTAGGCAACATAGCACACTTTCTCTGAAATAAAGTATGTACTTTAAATAACCCATTAATGTAATTATTATTATTATTTTTTTGTAGAACCGGGGATTGAACTCAGGCCCTTGCGCTTGCCAGGCAAGCGCTTATTCCACTGAGCCATCTCCCCGGCCCCTATTAATGTAATTATTATGAAATACCACTATCTGTTATAGTGCTGTAGCATCTCAAATTTAAAACTTTTTGTGATAAAAAAGATCAGTCTTCTTTCGTACATACCAAACTATTTGTACTTCAAAAGAAAATAATCAGTGGAAAGCAAGCCTACCATTGAAATTATGAAAAAAATCATTTGAAGGTTTTAAATATATACACAGAAATGGATATTGTGTACATGTTAACTATTTGAAAAATGTCACCTATGTTACATGCTATGTATCTCAAAGACTATAAAGTATAAGTCTCTAAATTTAAGCATACATGTATAAAAGCTTTGTAATTCCACTAGGAACATGTGTCTCAAAATGTCTTAGGTGCCAGGTAGAGTGGCATATATCTGTAACTTCAGCATTAAGGAAAGTCCTTGTCTCAAAATAAAAAAAATAAAAGGGGGCCAGCCAGGATAGCTCAGCAGACTTTAGCCTGCTTAGACAGGCACAGGGACAGGGGTCTGATCCGTGGAGTGTCATGCCGGTCCTGCCCCCAGGGTGCACTGATATGTCAACTGAGATTGTGCATGGTGGCACATGCCTGTAATTCCGCAGCTTGGGAGACTAAAAACAGGAGGACTGCTATGACTGATCTGTGTAGTGAGACCCTGTATTAAAATACAAACAAACAAATAAATAAATAAATAAATAAATAAAGGTTGGGAGCTGGGTGTGGTGGTACATACAAGTAATCTGCACTCTGTGAAGCTGCGTGCAGAAGAATGTTGAGATTGGCCCTAGCCTGGGTAACTCAGAAACTTTCAAAATCAAAAAGGGTCCGTAGCTCAGTGTGAAGGCTCTGGGTTTAATCCCCAAGACTGCAAACAACAACAACTTGTATCATTAGAAAATCAAAGCAAAAAAAAAAAAAAAGAAAATCAAAGCAGACATTCTATAGAACTTAAACTTCTTTAGGAAGATCATCAAAAAGGTCACTTTTTATGCAAGTTGAATATGTTAAAAATTATGTATAAGAATTGAAGAAGTTGCACATTAAGACTATGTAGGGTCAAACTGGATAAAATAGTTTTATTCATGAACAACTAAAAAAAAAGCCACAGAAAATCCTAGTTCAACGATAAATATAGGGGCTGGGAAGACGGCTTAGGAGGATAAGCGCTTGACTGGCAAATGCAAGGATGTGAGTTCAATCCACAGTTCAGCAAAAAAGAAGAAACAAACAAACAAAAAAACCCGATAAATATAAGGCACAGTAATTTTCCTAAAGTTATTTATTTCTTGTTCTTTTCTCTTTTTTTGGGCGGAACCGGGGATTGAACTCAGGCCCTTGCGCCACTTGCCAGCCAAGTACTTATTCTACTGAGCTATCTCCCCAGCCCCCCAAATATAATTTCTTTTTGCTCTTTTTTTTGTTTTTGCAGTACCAGGGATTGACCTCAGGACCCTGCACTTGCCAGGCCAACACTTATTCCATTGAGTTATCTTCCCGGCCCCAAAAGTTATTTATTTCTGTCTCTTCTCAAGCTATTTGAAAAAATACAATTAGGTAGATGCAAGAGTCACACTACTAAAACCCAGGACAAGTTTTTCAGTGTAATAACCTGCCTCAGTTCTTAGCACATGTTAAAACTACTTGTCTAGGGATGCCAAAGAAAAATAAGACACAATATTCATATGCAAAAACACAAATTATACTATTGTAGTATCTTAGTTTTTAAGGCACATAAAAAGACATACCCTACTGTTTAAACTATCTAGTTAATGACTGGTCTTAAAACCAAGGCTTAGGGCTGGGGAGATGGCTCAGTAGAATAAGTGCTTCCCTAGCAAGCACAAGAGCCTGAGTCCAATCCTCAGTTCTGCCCCAAAAAATAAATAAATAAAACAACCCACAATAAAACCAAGGCTGGCCACTTGGACTTAAAACTTGTCTTTTTTTTTTTTTTTCTGGAACCAGGGATTGAACTCAGGCCCTTGTGCTTGCCAGGAAGCATTTATTCCACTGAGCCATCTCCCCAGCCCCTATGTACATCTTGTGTATAGAGCCTGTCTTTTTTGGATGGTACACCTTCTGTTTATATAATACTATAACTTTTGCTAATTATGCTGTAATTTTATGTTCAGTTACACATTATAGTATCACATGTAAGATATGCAAATAAAAGCAAAGTCATCAAGTTGGAGTTTCCTTTGACTATTTCTTGATTCTGAATATTATGATGTATATGCGATATACAACTCATTTAGTGTCCAATTCAATTAAAGAGCTAGTAGCAGGAATGGAACTCAGTCACCAAATGAGGAATATTTATAATGATTTACATACCTAATGTTATTTTTAAGAACTTTCAAGCAACTGAAACATTTAAAGGTTGTGTAAGTCTTCGGTTCTTCCTCCAAGGATCCATCATGCTTTCCATAATAAAAGTCACTAACTAACATGATCAATTTTTCTTTCTCCGAACCAGTATTAGTTGTGCCTTCAGCAGATGAGGGTTCCATTTTAACAGTTCCTATAAAGTTATTTAACATATCTGGACAACAACGCTGAAAGAGAAAAAATAAAGCCTTATAAATGTATCTCTTTAAAAATTAGATGCCAAAAAACAATTCTGAAAACAAAGGCAAAAAATCTTAAGAGCCAGGTACAACAGCACATGCCTGTAATCCTAGCACTTGGGGAGCCAAAGCAGAAAGATTCCCCATCAGTTCAAGGCCAGCCTGGGCTACAAAGTGAGCCCAGCCTAAACTACATAATGAGACTTTACTTCAAAAAATTAAAAACAAAACCAATTCTGTGTTTACAACTAGGACTAGATCATTAAAAACTATGGCTGGCACTATACCTGGGAAGATTCACCAAAATGTTGGTCTTATAAATTTTAAAAAATTCCAATACTAAATATCTATTACCTTAATAACGTCAAGAACAAAGTAAAACCCTTACAATCAGGTATATCTATATACCTAGTACCTTTTTCACTTTAATTTCTGCTTTTCAAATATATACAATAATTTATTTCTTGGATAAAAATTATATACTTCATGTTTGTGTTAAGTTTGACTTAAAGGAAAATGCCGTTTTATCTACCATTATGTACTAGTTTAATTATCAAATAATATAAAGTAATAAGATTTTTACCAAGCCTGGTTGGAATTAGATGTTACACATAGCCAGTCTTACATTCTCCAGACTCAAGGTACTAAAAGATAAGCAGCTTACAAAGAAAGTAATATCAGTTACCTTAATACTTTGAAAAACCTCAGTGTTCTCTATATATTTGCTTACATATCTGACAGACATCTCCCTCATGAATAAAATCAATACCTAATACAAATTAACACTAATATATATGAACTCTTTTTCAGTAAGAAAATGTATTGCACACACTTCAGTTCTAAAATCTCTCTCTCTCTCTCTCTCTCTCTTGGAATCGAGGATTGAACTCAGGCCCTTGCACTTGCCAGGGAAGTGCTTATTCTACTGAGCCATATCCCTGGCCCCTCTAAAATTTCTCTTGAAGGATTAAGAACTGGTCCATGCCATGTAAGGATTCTTACAACTTAATAGTCAAAGAAATCAAAATTGATTTAAAAATGGGCAAATGGACTAAATAGGCATTTCACAAAAGAAGATATAGTCAGGCCACTCAAGGGTGTGCTGGCACACACTTGTAATCCCAGCACTCTGAGATGCTTGAAGCAAGAAGATCACAAGTTCAAGTCCAGCCTTGGCAATTTAGCAAGCCTGCCTCAAAATTTTAAGAATTAAAAATAATTAAAATTTAAAACGTGAAAAGGCCCTGGACTCAATCCCCAGTGAAAAATAAGAAACAAAAAATTACTTTCACAAAGGCATTCAGCATCAGTAATCTTTAGGGAAATGGAAACCACAATCTGGCATTATTACCTCATTGTTACGATGGCCATATCGAAAAGACAAAAGGTAAGTGCTGCTAAGATGTGGAGTAAAGACAACTCTTGTACTCTGTTAATGGTATGTGAAATGATGCTGCTGCTATGGAAAACATGAAAGTTCCATAAAAAATTGAAAATAGAACTACAATATGATCTAGCAGGACACAGTCAAAGAAACAAATGATCTCAAAGATAATTAGTTTCATATTCAGTGCAGCATTATTCACAACAGTCAAGATATGAAAGCAATTCTAAATGTCTATTTATATACAAATCAATAAGAGAATGTGAAGCTATACACAATATGGAATATTACACACCCCTGAAAAATACTATTTTGTTCTGGTTTGTGTTTGGATATTCCTGGAAAGCCTCATGTGGTCATGAAAGTAAGGCTTTTTGGAGGTAGCTAAACATAGAGTTTGTGACTGGTTCATTGTCTAGTGCTGGGATTGGCAGTCTGAGTTCTATACCTGCCCTACAGCAAGTAGTTTGCATACAACATAAGGGAGGGAAAGACCTTGCTTCTCCCTTTTGCTCTCCTCCACCCACCATCCACAGCTGCTTCTCTGCCATGCCACCCTGCCTTCGAGCCAGGTGATTATGGCTGAACCTTCACAAACAAACCTTTCTCCCTTAATTTTCCGCTTCAGGTATCTTGTCTCAGCAATGAGAGAAAATTAACTAAGACATATGATTCATCTTCTATGAGAAATCTAAAGTACTCAAACTAATATGGCTGAGGGTAGAATGGTGACTGTCATGGTCTGGAAGAAGGGACAATATTAGTCAAAGGACACAAACGTTCAATTATTCAAGCAGAATAAACCTTAAATATCTACTATACAGCACAGCATGTAGTTAATACTGTATTGGATACTTAAAAAGTTGCTAAAAGTGTAGAAATCTTTTTTAACATAGTAATTGATGTGTAGAAACTTTCAAAGGTGATGGATGTGTCTGTGGCATAGATTTCTTGACCGAGTTTGCCTTCAGAGCAGGTTATGACATAGATATCAATGTTTCTGCAAATGTGTATTTCTCTCTGAGCACACTGAGTTGTATATATGAAGTACTAGCACTTTCTGAGTATATCAATCATACCTCAATCAGGTGTTTTAGAAAAAGATTGAATAAAACAAGGATGGAAATAAGTTTTTCTAAATTGATTTTAGAAAACAAGTACAAAGTGAAAGTCTTAGAAAATGAAGCATAACAAAAAGTTTTGAGAGAAACAAATGAAATCTATCCTCTCAATTAAATCTCTATTACCCAATTCAAATTTTAGTAGAGATTTCAATATATGATCACAAAGACAAAAATAATTTTGGTAAAAAAATACTTAGAAGGGATGAAAACAAAGGGATAAACAAAGAACATAGCAGGTCAATGGAAACAATAAGAAAGCAAGGGCTATGAACCTGATATCAAACAAAATGAAATTCAGGCTTAGTATTATTAAACAATAAAATGCAAAGGATATAGCTATATCCTAAAGATAAATACAACAAAAAAGAATTGGACAATATCAAAGAAAATTATTAACATAGATTTCACTTTCTCAAACACGGAGGTAGATGCAGTTACAAAATAATGCAGCTTTGCCCAGAATAGAAGTTTGTATTTGGAATTTAGGACAACTCCACTCCCCAAACACATTTTTTTTTCCGGAGACAGGATCTTACTCTGTATGTAGTCTAGGCTGTCTTTGAACGCGCTGCAATCAATCTTCTTGCCACAGCTTCTCAAGTACTAGGATCACAAGCATGAATTACCATGTCCTTATCATCAAATATTGAATTTCAATAAAAGTTTGCTAATCAATGGAACACTAAAAATACATTTTTCTGAGTTGCTTCTTCACTTTACACTCTTTTCAATCTTTTTTTTTTTTTTTTTTTTTTTTTTTTTGTGGTACTACAGATTGAACTCAGGACCCTGTGCTTGCCAGGCAAGCACTTATTCTACTGAGCCATCTCCTGGGGCCCTCTTTTCTATATTATCATCTACCTTACCCTTTTTCTTACCTCCTTTCCCCCTTAATGCTGTTTATAGCAGGCCTTACCCAGACATAATAGGATACTATAATAGTTAAATTAGGAATGTCTTGTAAATTCCATCTTTGTTAGTATTTTGAGTTGTTTAAAACCTAATTTCTTTTTTTTTTTTTTTTTTTGGTGGCACCAGGGATTTAACTCAGGATCTTGTGCTGGCAAGCGCTTATTCTACTGAGCTATCTCCCTGGCCCCTAAAACCTAATTTGAAGAGCTTCCTACATTAATATAAAGCAAAATTCATTTATAACTACACACGCTACATTCTGGATTGAGTTAAAACTAGCATTTCAAATGAAACGCTCCATAACTAGGTTTTTAAAGTTTATTATTATTATTTTTTATTTGTGTGTGTGTGTGTGTGGTCAGCTCAGCCCACCAGGGGGCGGGGCTGGCTGGCATGTGGTGCTGGGGGATTGAACCGCGGTCCCTGTGCTTTGCTAAGCTTGTTCTAAGTAGGTGCTTTAGACCACTGAGCCATCTCACCAGCCCCTTATTATTATTTTGTATTTTAGGGAAGGGTCTACAGGGTGTTCAGGGTCTCACTAGTAGATCAGACTCATAGTGATCTGCCTGTTTATAGCACCCCAAGAGCTAGAATTACAGGCGCACACCACCAAGCCTAGTCTCAACTGCCATCTCAGTGTGCATCGGGGGCGGGAGCGGGGCTGGCATGGCAGGCCCGGGGATCGAACCTCTGGCCCCTGCACCTTCTTGCAGGCGCTTTAATTTGCTGAGCTATTTGGCTGGCCCTTAAAATTTATTTCTTAAGAAAAATAAAAGGCAAAACTAAGATCTACAATGAGTAATGTAACATGCATACATCACCATGGACCAAAAAATAAAAGGAATTTTTAGGTTATATGAAGAATTAAACACTTAATAAAATGCCTACTTTACCTGAAGCTTGAAAATGACATGATTCAGTCATAAAACATTCAGATTAATACATAATTTTCATTTAAAATTGAATGTAATAGACATATACTGTATTGTGTATTTTTATAATTGGGCTAGGTGTCCAATGTAATTTGAGCTACTTGGGAAGCTGAGGCAGGTGGATTCCAAGTTGGAGCTGATGGCTGGGGATATAGCTTAATGGTAGAGTATTTGCTAGCTTGTGTGGGGCTTTGTATTCAGTATCCAGTACTATAAAAAAACAAAACCAACAGTGACACCAACAATATGTATGAAGGCAATCATGAGTATCAATTTCTACTAAAATTATATGAAAAGAACAATATGAGAAGATTCATTATCTGATGATCTAGAGATACCATCATTTATTATTTATCAATCCTTAATATTTTCAGAGATTTGTAAACATTTTTGTCTTTATTTTTGTTGTTCGTTTGGTACAGGGAATCAAACTCAGAACCTTGTACTTGGCAGGCAGGTGCTGCACTGCTGAGCTATATTCCTGGCATGTAAACATTTTTAAAACATAAACTTTGAGAAAAGATTTTACCTTCATGTGGTATTTCAAAAGTTCCAAATGATTTAACTGAATATCACACTTTGGACAAGATCTTAGGACAAACTCTTCAGTTTTCTGTTCAGTAGATGAGGTATTTGAACCTGAAATAAATGAATGACTTTTATGACAAACTCATCTTTTAAAAAGTCTCAAATAACAACTAGTAATAATATTAAATTTGGCACAATTTCAAAATTTTATATATAAGTAATATTTTTCATCTGCTGGATTTCATACTTACCTGGTGATACCATAACCTGGGAAGATTCCTCTGAAGAATTACTTAAAGACAATGAAGAAGAGAGATTTATTTCAGAAATACTTCCGCTGGTCTTTGGCTTTTTTGGATTAACACTGTTTATTTTAGAAGCAGAACGTTTTAATCCAAATGAGGTTTCATCTACCCCTAGAAAGATTTAAATAGTGGAAAAGGTTATTTATAAATGTTTTAGTATACAACATTATTTATGTAAAACTGCCTACTAAAAATCTTACATTTAAAATTAGCTTGGAGCACATGAAAGGTAATATATTAAGCTATCATCCGAATGACAAAAAATGAGTATTTATACAACTATGGTGCAGAAATTGTATAAACAGCTTTTATGGATTAACATACATTTGACAAACTCATGAAATAAACTTTATGCAAGAAAGTTATTATTTTGTGTATTGTACTGGGCCTTTTGTATATGGAGCCTAGAGCCATTTGCAAGTCAGGCAAGTACTCTTCAACTGAATTACATCCCCAGTCCTTGTTTTTGCGAAACAGTTTCACTGTATAGTTCAGACCAGCCTTAAACTCACTATGTAGCCCAAATTGGCCTCGAACTCACAATCCTCCTGTCTCAGCCTCCTGAGTGCTGGGATGACAGGCATGCACCATCACATCCTGCACTTTTCCCAACCCTTTTTTATTTTTCAAAACAGGGTCTCACTACAGAGTGGACAAGAACTTCTGATTCTCCTTTCTTAGCTTTCTGGATGAGATTACAGAAATGTGCCATTCTGAGTAGAGTCTATGCAAGAAAATTCTAAAAATTCTTTCAAAATTAAAGAAATACAGGGCCAGGGAGATAACTCAGTAGAATAAGTGCTTGCCTGGCAAGCACAGGGTCCTGAGTTCAATCCCTGATACCGCAAACAAACAAACAAACAAACAAACAAAAAACAAAAAAAAATATCATGAAAGCGAGACCAAAAACATCCAAGCCAAAAGAAAAATTAAAGTACATGTCCAAATACTATTTTCTTAGTCCAAAATACCATTTCTTTAGTTTTAACCTCTTATAATACAACTTATAATCACATTTAACTGTATTTACACATTTATGTAAAAAGACATCAGTTTATTAAAAAATCAACTATAAGGATGTGTTTTTAACATACTAAGAGTCCTTCAAATAATACTTTTCTGAGAGTATTTAAGGTATTAGGGAAATTCCTCTACCCACAGAAATTACATTAAGATATTTTACCCCATATCTGGCTCTACATAAGAATAAGCTCATACAACATTAAATGAAAGGGTCTGGGGAAATGGCTCAGTAGAATAAGCGCTTGCCTGGCAAGCACAAGGGCCTGAGTTCAATCCCTGGTTCCACAAAAAAAAAAAAAAGAAAAAAAAAGTGAAGAAAGTTCAAAAAATATGCTACCTCATTAATAAAAAAAATCTATTATTCAATGTGATTTTATATAAAATCATCTAAGAAGGGCATTCAGGAATGATTAGCTTCATTCATCTGGTAACATGAAAATAACATGAAAATATGGACTTAAAACAGAAATTTAATTTCATAAGCATATTCATCAAGTCTTTTTTATAAATTTTATGAAACACTGCTAAACCAAACCTTTCAAAAAATTTTTTGGTATGCCTGTGGACAGTGGTATTGTATCCTGGGATGAGTCAAACAGTGAGACTGAAGAATTATCCGATTCTTCTTGTGATGAATTCTTTGAAGAATCCTGTAAAATGTTATAGTGATTTTGTTTAGTAAATTTTATAGAAGAGTAAATTTAACTCTATTCCTAAACTATAAAGCTTAAAGATTCAATCACTAAAAATTATACAGCACAAAGGTAACTGTTAATCTACATTATTTTTGTAATTTTTCTAGAAACGTAAAATTAATTTGAAATAAAATTTAAAACTTGATATCCTTTGATCTAACTATTCCACTTCTAAGAATTTATACTTAGGAAATGGAAATGCTTAATGGAGAATTACAGCAAAAAAGCCCCCTTTATGTCAAACAGTGGTGGAAGGGTTAAATCAATGACAGACTACTATGCAATATCATAATGGGGAGATACTCAGAGGTTGATACATAAACAACATGGATCAAGTCTGGTGTTCTTGCACAGTAAAGTTATCATAGTTAATTACCATCTATGGTATATCTCAAATTACTAAATTACTAAATATCTCAAATAGCTAACAGGATTATAATGTTCCCAACACAAAGTGTACTAAATAACTAAAAAAATAAAAACATTAATATGAACAAAAGTTTCCATTATTAATATTTATTACTAGTTATACTTATGTATGTTTAAATTGTAGTTCTTGTACTTTTTTTGTATTTTAGGACAGTGTCTACAGGGTCTTCCTACGTAGGTCGGGCTCATAGTGATTCTCCTGTGTTCAGATTCCCAAGAGCTACAGGCATGCGCCACCACGCCCAGTCTCTAAATTGTAGTTCTTAATATTATGCTTTTTAAAGCTTATTAACCTATTTAATAACATGCTGGAAAATTAGTTTTTGCAGTTACAATTTTGGGTATTGGTTGAACTGCATCATAAAGACAGTGAACTTTTCTCACGGTGATGGTGCATCTAGTAAAACTGGCATTAGTTATAACAGTTCATGATTCCTAATTTAGTATTACAATATCTAGAACAACTTACAGATTTAGACATATTCTGAACAATAGAAGAACTTTGCGAAGATTTAGATCCAGGATGAAATCTAGTCAAGGTAGCCACTGGATTTGATGCTGGGTCTCTGTAATGTTGACTTGTAGGTTTGAATATATCAGAAATTCCTATATTGAAAATTATACAACATATTGAATCTATTACTATATAATCAATTGTGTCGAAATATTTTACTTTAAGTTAGTACAGTAATAGTATACCTGGACTAAGTGGCTCACTCTTTATTGCCTTTGAGGTTGAGCTGGTGTTACTTCTGTTCAAAATATCTATAAAAATTATATTTACAAATTATTATTTGAAATATAACAAAAACTCCAAAACTATAGACATAATAACAAAAATAGAAATACCTTTCCCTTAATGGTGAAGATTATGTAAAAATCTCAAAATTAAGCCTCTACTAACCCCAATACCACATTCACACTTCTAAATGTCTAAATTTGCATTATATTGATAGGCTAATCACTCTTCAATTGACTACTCATCATCACTGCTCTAGAGTTTTGAATTATCAGAGACTGAAGACTACAATGAACCTAGAATTTAGCATTTGATTTACTTAAGTGGTTTCAAATGAAGTCAGTCTGAACCTGCTAATACTCTAGATTGGTTCAAAACTGCTCCCTCTTGCCAGGTGTGGTGGTGCATGCCTGTAATCCCAGCACTCTGGAGACCAAGGCAGGAGGATCACCACAAGTTCAATGCCAACCTGGGCTACGTATTGAGTTCAAGCCCACCTTGAACTGCAAAGTGAGGCACTGTCTCCAAAAACGAAAACAGAACAAAAACCAACATCGTTGCCTCCTGTACTCACGTGAACTCCATAACTTCCAGTTAACTGAGGAGTCAAAATGAAATTTGGCAGCACAGCAATTTGCCTAAAATTGCTTATGAGGAAAAGGTACAAAGCATGAAAATATCCAATAAATCCTCAAAATTTTCCCTTTTATATTTGTAATAGTTAAATCTTGGAAACCACCTAAATGCCATTCAGTAAGAAATGGATTTTAAAAGTGGTATTTTTATACAGTAACTTAGCTATAAAGATAAACTTGAAGCTTTTATAGGTAAATGGATGCAACTAGAGACCATACTCACAAGTTGGGATGTGCAAGCATAGTATTAGCTCCCTAGTGTAAGAAACTGAAAGATTAAATAAGATCCAAAAGGTACAATAGACATTGTAAAAGGGGAAAAATGTTCTAGAAGGAAATAACTGGGATGGGGGAAAGGAGAAAAGGAAGGAATAGTCATACACATACACACACACAAAAAAAACCCAGCTAAGATAATTGTACCACTAATTTCTATTAGTTGCCTAAAGGAACAGATAGTGTTTATATTATTTCCACCAATCTTACATACCTACATCTGGTAATCTGAGCTTGACCTGTTTCACTTATCAACAATAAATATGCCATCAGTCTGATAGCTCTGCAGACTAAAGTGCCTGCTTAGGCAGAGTACAGTGGCCTCAGTTTGATCCCAGGCCCTTGCGTCTGCCTAAACAGGCACTTTAATCTGCTGAGTTAATAGGCCAGCCCAGTAGGATTCTTTTTTTGTTGTTGTTGCTGTTGTTTTTGGCTAGCTCATGCTGCCTTAATGGCAGGTCTGGTGTGGCATGTGGGGCTGGGGTACGAACCATGGTCCTCTGCGCTTGACTGGGTTTGCCAAGGCAGGCACTTAAACAACTGAGCTAACCCGCAAACTCTCAACTGTGAATCTTTTAAATTAAATACAAATTCTTTTTCTTTACATCAGGGCTGCAAAGAGAAATAAAAATCAAAACTAAAGACATAGGGCTGGAGAGATGGCTCAGTGGTCTAAAGCACCTACTTACAACAAGCTTAGCAAAGCGTCAGGGACCGCGGTTCGATCCCCCAGCACCACATGCCAGCCAGCCCCGCCCCCTGGTGGACTGAGCTGGCCACACACACACACCACTCTCT